TTATTTTCAGATTTTAAAAATGCGCCCTCGGAGGCATGATTGTGTCATCTTAGAGTGACAGCTTAAGCAAATAAAAAAAAATAAGCAAATAAAATAGAGAAAAACAAGTCTAACATCGCAAATTTGAAAATGTTGCATGCTCGGTTTGATTGAGCTTGTTCATGAACGGTACTGGAAAGTGCAAGATACCGTCCACTCTCATTAGTTACAGCTTAAGCAGAATTCAACATTTAACATGAACTGGTATTTTGAATAGAATACTTCTCCTGGAAAATTATTGAAACAACAGTAATTGTTGCGAGCCTTGGGTCTTATAAATTTTCCACCGTTAAATGCGTAAGCTATAGTTGTGTTATTTGTACAAACTTAGATGTTGGGTATCAAAATTTTCATTCAAGGGCACCATTGGGGCCAGGTCAAAGTTTTTCCAGTAAAATAAAGCATCGGCACCAAAGGGACCCTTTTTTCATTGAAAATGTTTAAACTGTTGATGAACAACACAACTATATTGGAATTGATGACATTAATATCTATTTGGGATGTCTATATATACCTAAAACCATTTAAATTGTTCACGAACAACAATTGTTTGAGAAGGAAGGATCAAGTATATTGAATTCGCGGCCTGGTATAAAGTCTGTGAGCCGTCCGTGTATCCGGTGCATCAACGAAACGACAGCGGCAATGATGGCCAGGCACAGAATCCAACAAAAAACTAGCCCAAAAAATTGATTTGTGCCAGTAAGTCCTTCGTACGAAAAGAAAACCTGGAAAGTCATGTTTAAACGAATCGTCGGATACCCACGATTGATAAAACATGTTAGATAAAAACATGCAATCAATGTTAATATGGTTCGGCCGGGTGGGTATCCCGACGATGGTTTTTGGTGCGGAACGTGGAACGGTGGGTCGCAAAGATAGCTGAAGAGCACGCCTTGGAGATGTAAATAGTGGCAAACAATATTAAAACCATCTGAAATTTCTAACATGGGGCATACATGGGAGTATACTATTGCATTTAGTGCTCTAAACTGTCTTAAAATGTTTTGCACATGTTTTATTTGGGGAAGTATAAATATAATATATATTTGAACATAACATTTTTGCGATTTCCGATACTCTAGCTAATGTAAAAACACATCTATTTACTAATTTGTTCATAAGAGGAATGAACACTTTTGGTTAGAATCACATGTCGGGTCTTTAACTTGATGGCATAAAGGATTAAAATTATTCGGTCAACATTTAGTTCAAAACGCTTATATTTTTTCAACTGTAAAGTAAATTAAGTTAAATATTATTTGGTCAATCCAAAAGCATAATCCGTAAAAGTATCTATTTGCCAATAATAAATGCGTGAATTGTCAAACAATATTGACCTGGCATTAAATTAACTTTCGTAAAGGTCATAAACACCGGTATTTAACGAATATACTGAAATATTTGACAGTGAGGTGTGGTATATTGGTACAGATACCCTCGCTGAATTTTACGATTCAAATCAGTAATACTGTTTTTCATTCGACCATGTTTATACAAATAGACTATGTATACAAGTAGACTATACAAATATACTTTACAAATAGACTATACAATCCTCTTGTCGTAGGAAAGTCCTTTCACCTTCATAAGAACACACTAGCGCACATTTCAGCTCATTACTAGATCATTTTAACGTAAATTTATCTAGATTAAAACTTTTTTGTAAACAAACCCCGGGTTTTCCTTTAAAAATTGTAAATGAAAATTAAAAAATGTTGTTCCGTTTTTGGGAAATCTTTGGGCTTTTTATTTCCTTAGCCAGCGGTCCATCTGATACTTCATGGTGAAAAACCGGATGATCGAGGCTATAAATTTGGGTGAAAAAGCGATGGTTCTGTTGCATAACTTGGGGAGTTCATGCAATAAATTTGTGAAGACAGAGGTTTCGTTCTCACGCCGCGTTGAAACGCTATGTATATTGGGCATTTTTATCATCTTACCAAATCGCACTTTCACCAAATTAACGTTGCCATCCCTCGATTTTGCACCAAGACCATACCATCGCCACTTTCGTTTATTAGCCGTGTCGTTTAGCGTTTTTCTTAAAATTTAATCATTGGGTTGTGCCACTGAAGGGTAACACGGCAAAGAAAAAAACTTAGTCTTAACGCGTTGGGGGGAAGATTGTGGTTTGGTTTAAAATTTAAATTTCTGTTTATGCACGGGGGGCAATTGACACGATTGTGAATACGCTAAAGTACGATTTTGTAAACACGATGGTGAAACAGCGATAATATGATGGTGAAAACGAGATAATACGATCGTGAAAACGAGATAGTGCGATGGTGAAAAACGCAAGAGTATGCTGGTGAAAATGCAATTCTACGATGGTTATAATGCGAGTGTATGCTGTATAATGTACAATGTTGATACTGCCAGTTTATGATGGTAAAAGTATGATGGCATGATAATGAAAATACGATGTAATATCGCTTTTTCATCATCGTACTAATGTACCATAATGATTTAACCATCGTTTCATCGTACTTTTATCATCGTATAATCGCATTTTCACTATCTTAGCATCGTGCGCTACAGGCTAAGGTAAAACAAAAAGTCATGATTATCCAAACGGAACAACGTATTGTACCATTCAACTTATTGAAAACGTATTCCAAATAAGACACGTATAGATTATAACATTAATCCATTAAATAAACATAAACTACTAATTCGAAAATCTGTTTTTATACCGTGGGTCATTTTGATCACTTGACAAAAGAGGATTATTTATAACATATATGCAAGAAGAAAACATTATGTTTGTGTATCTAAAAACATTTAATACGTATTTGATCAACATGTGACCAAACCTTCAGATGGGAATATGTATGTTTAAAAAAACTGAGATGCTTAACGTGAACACTTGTAATTATAAAATAATTATTCAATTATTATCATTTGAAACATTGAACTTTGTGAGATAAGAATTTCCTTTATTCGAATTACGGAAATACGAAAGAAAACAATATTGTTTTGACTGATTGAGGACTCAAGATGTTGGAATCACGAAAGGTATGAATCTAGATCTTATAACCTACATATAGCTTGTTAATTAATTGAATTTAATTGTCATTAAAGTTGTATACAATGACAGGTTTTATGATGCTATAAATTACCTTAAAAGAACAAATTATACCTGAAATTGAATACGAAATAAATAGTGTTATCAAAGTAGACTGCCCAGATCATTCATGTATACACTTGTATGGATTATCAATATATGAAACAAATAATGGTTTATTTGATGGTAAACAATATTTTTTCGCCCTTTAATGACATCATTGACGATGCGACTAAGGATCTTAAAAGGGGACGCACAACTCTTGTAAAATGCGCATATTTTAAAGGTACATTCTTCCAGATGAGTCAAAATATTTCAATAAAGTCAAACTTGAGAAAAAAGTACTAAAATGTTAGGAAATGTAAAAAGATTCAAGATTCAAGTAATGTTTTACATGTTCTATGCGATTAATGACTGATTTTTTGGTATTTACAACTATATTTCTACTGCGTTACTAACGCAGTAAGGGCTATTTATGTATATTTTGACCACCTTAAGGTAATTTACGCGGGTTGTATGTGCCATTGAAAATGTGTAAAGTTCCATTTGTTTACTTCACAATATTAAACATTCAGATACATTTTCAAAATTTTCATGAAAATTAGCATGAATCAGGAGACGTGCTGCTGTAATTGTCGTAATTTTCATATTATTGAATAAGAAATTGAATAAAACCGTTTACCATATACCATGGTTACCATTTTCGTTTGATCTAAATAATAAAGACATGTCACATCGTGTTTAACCGCGCAGTTAAATCGCACTTACTTGCTAATTCGTACCCTAAATAAATTTAGTATAAATATTCGGCAGTGTTGAAAAACAGAAAAAGGGGCCTCCGTGGCCGAGTGGTTAAGGTCGCTGACTTGAGATCACAGGTCCCTCACCGCTGTAGGTTCGATCCTCACTCGGGTCGAAATCTTTCATGTGAGGAAGCCATCCAGCTGGCTTACGGAAGGTCGGTGGTTCTACCCAGGTGCCCGCTCGTGCCTGAAATTATGCTCGGAGGGTGCCCCTCCGAGCATTATTTCAGGCACGAGACTGGGGTCTTCCTCCACCAATAAAGCTGGAAAAAAATCGACGAAAAAATGGTGGGACGCTCTTGGATGGCCCGACTTGAGTGTACGGTCGCCCATATGAGCTTTCCGGCGGCGACCTTAAATAAACGCATTAAAAAAAACACAGCGTCATAATTGCCCTTATGTAATTTTGCTATTTCGGTAGGACGTCTTTATAAATAAACTTTACCACGCTTCTCAAACAATTTTTGAACAGGATACTGATTAACTTTTTCTTTTTAATTGAAGCATTACAAGCTCACGATGCCAAAACAACAAAACAATAAAAAAAAAGAATAAAAGTAAAAGTCTTTACATCATATTAATCACCGTGTCAGTGTATAATCGCAATTTCACCATCTTAGCATCGTGCAATGAAAATCACGATTGACCAAACATAACATCGTATTTATTACACTATATGTATACATACGTTAACTTAAATTAATCAACAAAACAAAACAAAACAAAAATATCTTTACGTTTAGAAAATTAATGAATGAAACAGATCCACAAAAATTAAGCAACTGGGTTAAATATTTATATGTTATACTTGAATACTTTAAGAACCCACCTGGCTAGTCACATTTTTTTTATTTATAATCTATAAATATTTTTCTATTTTGCAAAATATAGCATGTACACAATGACATAGTTACATTGTATGTTATGAAATATTGTAGTTATAAATACTTTTTTAAAACTACTGTAGTTCATTTAATTTGTATACACAACCTGATTACACATCTAGTAATTTTGTTTATATACTATTGTACACCTCTTATCATATGTAAATATGCTGAGTGTATCAATAAAACTTGAAAACTTGAAAAACTTGAAACTTAACCAAAATAAGACCTTAATCCACGCGATAAACAAAAATGCTATTTCGAAAATCAAATTTTAAACCTTGGGTCATTTTGATCGCTGGACAAAAGAGGATAATTTATAACAACTGTGTCAAAGATGAAAGAATTATAGCAATTTATCTTAAACCTGTTTAAACATGTGTCCAAACCTTCAAATGGATATAGGTGTGTTTTAAAATAACTGTGATGCTTAACATGGACATTTGCTATTCTCAAATAACTATTTAGTGAAAGTGTTTTTAATGTTGAAATTTGCAGGGATCAGAATTTCCTTTATTTGAATTACGGAAAATACGCAAAGAAAAAAAACACGATATTGTTTTGACTACATAAGGACTGAAATATGTTGGAATTACGCAAGGTATGGATGCATATATCAATGATTTAATGACCTACATATATCTAATGAAAATAAATTAGTTTTTTCATTGAAGTCTGTTTTTTACCAGTTTCAGGTTTCGTATTAATTACATTTAAGATATATTTTGCTCAAATTTGATATGACAAAATATTGAAAGTTGCTACACAGTATCTTTGTAAATATAAAAAAAACATGTTTTGATTTCCCGCGATGTAGATATGTAATGTTTAAAACTCTACACTCTAAAGGTGCTCTCAACATGAAATTAATGGGTCATTAAAAACTGGCGTTTTATACTTAAGAAAGAACCGGATTTACTTTAGCTTCGATAGGGAGCGCAGCTTTCCATATATAGTTATTCAAATGAAACATATACAGCAAATATGGTCAAATTTAAAAAAAATGTTTACCATAATTTGCATGTATCTGAAAGTTATTTGGTGGTTCAAAAGTCGGTATAAATATTCGGTTTTCAGGTTTAAAAAACGGTGATATAATTGACTTCCTGTATTTTTTATATTTTGTTTGGACGCATATAAATATATCTAACTACGCTTCGACAGGGTACTGTTCAAGTATATTTTTCATTTGAGCATTTCAAGCTCACCATGATTAAATAAAATAAACAAATATAATAACATTTACTATAATATTTCTTCTACAAAATGTTGAATTGCTTTAAAGTAATAATTCTTTAGGATATATACAATTTGTGACGAGAAACAAGTCAATTCAAGTAGAATGAAATAGTGGTTCAATTTTCAACTAGATAAAAGTCATATGATGCCTCAGGCAAGATATTTTCAATCTTTAGAAAAGCCAAACATGAATTTTATAACGTTTAGATAATGGTTTAGTGAATGTGAGATTCTTGTCACATTTAAAATAGTGTGGAATGTAAATAATTTATTATAAAGGTACAAAAATGTAGACAACATAGTATTTTGACTTTCATCAAAACATTTAATTACTATACTTGACAAAAACAACAGAATCAAAAAGATGGATCAGATGATTGGTCAATTATTAATCTTTTTGAAACTATATCATTGCACCAATCAGGTCACAACCATGTTTCATCATATGACACAAGTTCTAGTTAGTTCCAGGCAGCGGACTCGAAAGTGATTAATATAAGTTGTAAGAACTTGTTTGCAATCGAACCTAAATATATTTGTTTAAAGGATGGCACCAAAAAAAAAAAAAAAAAGGTTTTGAGACATAAAAAAAAAACAATTTATGGGCACACTTAAAACACTGGTACGTAACCAGTTAACCACATAACTAACTAGTTGATTAAGGGGTTAAATATTAACGTAACTAGTTAACCTCTTAATTAACTAGTTATTTATATGGTTATCTGGTGGCAGAAATATGCCACCATAACCTGAGATATCATACTGATCTACATTTGAGCCGTGTCACGACAAAACCAACATAATGCGTTTGCGACCAGCATGCATCCGCGCAGTCTGATCAGGATCCATGCTGTTCGCTATCAGTTTCTCTACTTGTTATAGGGTTTGTAAGCGAACAGCATGGATCCTGATCAAACTGCGCGGATGGGCAGACTGGTCTGGATCCATGCTGGTCGCAAACCCATTATGTTGGTTTTGTCATGACGCGGCTCATATAAATATCAGATTTGCTGAACAAGTAAACTCCATATCGTTACTGTAACATAACATTAATATTTTGAAATTTAATTGATAATAAGAAATTTCTGCAATTTACTTGTTCATTATAAGTCTATACTAGAACTATGTAAAGTAAAAGAAATGTAACTGTGATGTGTAAAATAAATGTAAATGTAATGCAATTTATTATATTTTTAATCATTTGAAACTAATCATTGACAATTCGTAAATGAATCCATTTTCAATTCTTTTATAGGATATGACGCAGTATTCCTTCATGCAGATGTCAACAAAACAGACCGCCGCCATTGTTGCAATTATATCCGGTATATCAATAATACTTTTTGTACAGCAAATGACATTTGATGATAACCGTTTACCAGAACCAAAACCTTGGAAAATAAAAAGTAAGTTTTTTCTGTACGAAATTTGCCGTGGTCATAGTATAATTTTTTACAATAGCTTTAGCTCTTAAACTTGGTTTGCTATTGCTAATCATGGTCATGCAACTACATAGTTAGGTAAAGAAGCAGACGCTTGCTTTGGTTAAGTCTATTATATGTATGTAATATTTTTCTTGTTACAATATAGTTAACGGTATTATTAATAAATAGTTATATTTGGTGTCTTGGCAACCATGACCCAGATGAAAATATCATGTTGAATAATTGATAATGGATAATATATAATAATTATCCATTATCAATTATTCAACATAATATTTTCATTTAAAGATATTTAGATATGGATTTGCATTCAATCTTAAATTATAATTTAAAAAACTGAATGCTACTGATACATTCTGACCTATATTTATAGAAATTTTAGTAGGTCTCCTGGATTACTGATTATTTTGCATAGTAAAATATAATATTGAACATAGTAAAAGCACAGTCAAAGGAAAATATTAAGGTTATTTTGACTTTTAACCTCTGCTTACACCATCAATACTTGACTGGACATAAATATCGAAGGGGGAGACTACAAAGGAACGACGACGTCTCAATATTAAACTATTTTTCAAACTTAATATGCCTAATAAGCCTTTTGATTTTAAACATTTGTAAAAAACTTGATGTTCTCTGTTTACATACATGCAAATAAAACGTGATATTATTCATAAACCATTATTTGCACTACTCATAAACAATTATTTGATTAAATACTTACACTTGACGATTTGGTAGATTGTTATTCATGTAGAATAAAGTTAATTTATTTATGAATTAATTTTATGAAGCCTTGATTTGTTTTTGCCATTATTCAAAACGAGTAGTTATATAATTTCTGTTAGAAACATAATTTAAAATACCCTAAAGTATGAACAATGGTTTCAAAAATACATTTGATTATTCAAAAATTGATTCGTATTTAATGAAACATACACTTTCTTATATTTAAGGTCAGGATTTCTTTCGAAATGGCAGTTACAAGAAAGAAACAGCAATAAAAGAAGATTCAGTGCCAGAAAGATGTCTAACAAATAATGCAGTTCTATCAGATATTTGGCAACAAGAACAATGTCGAAGAATTAAGTATTTTAGAGGAAAATGTCAGAAATATAAATTACAAGGAAATTATAATATATCTTCATGGGTTTATGTTTATTATTCTAAGAAGTATAAACTTGCATTTCGACCTATTCCTAAAATAGGATCGACATTCATGTCTCAGGTCATGTCTTTATTGACAAACACTAGCAATGAGCAGATTTTCATGAAGGCAAGAAGTGATGTTCATGATATGAAATTAAATTTGAAAAGAAAATTTGCCTTTGAAAGATTTCTGGACTTTACGGTTTTGATTATTGCCAGAAATCCATATTCAAGGATATACTCTGCATATGTCGACAAGGTGTACATCGTCAGCTCTTTGCCATTGTGTATGGATATCAATTCTAAGTTGTTTAATAGAAATAATAACACACTTTTGTGTAAGTTTGATATTTCGTTTGAGGAATTTCTTAACTATCTATTTCACACAGACAAACCAGTTCTAAGGGATCATTATGAGCCGATTATGACACTTAGCTACGGTAAACAAATGTGTAACCATCTAAATATTCAGATTGTAAAACAAGAAACTTTTTCCGAGGATGTAGATCATGCACTAAAATCAGTATACGTCAGAGGGCCAGTGTATGACGTCATTTATGAGGAGATGAATTCTAAACATACTGAATCAACTATTGGAAGTATTGTAAAAACAGTACACAGAAAGTTTTATTCAAATGTACAAAGCAACTCATGTTTGTCTTGGAAAGATATGGCTGTGAAGTTATGGAAGTCATTTCAAATTCAGGGTTACATACATGAAAGTTCTAAATTTCCTGAAACAAAGTTCAAAAATGAGACAGATTACAAAAGTTCTAATTTAATTCAAGTGATGTTACAAGAAATACAAAGCAGACCTTTGAAACACAGAGAAAAGGTAGAACAAAGAAACAAAGCTTTGATAAATGCGTATAAAAGCGTTGATAAGAAATATATTCGTCAGATACGCGAGCGCTATGCAATGGACTTTGACATGTTTCACTATAGTACAGATGTTGAAATTTCTGTAACTTAAGGATATTAAAACAGACGATTTATTGATTGATTAATATGCCCAGAAAGTAAAGGGACATAGTGGACTCGAGGGTTGGGGAAGAAAGGAGCTAAAATTGAAAAAATAAAACAAGGGGCAAAAGAGAAGATACCGTAGACGAACAGCAAGGGACACAAAAGTCACCATATTAGTGTGAAAAACAAAAAAAAACATACATCTGAGCCTTATTATTCTGAGGAACAATGAGGGGCGCCACATGCAACATCATCTTCGGTTGATAACGTCTTCGTTTAAATAGTGTTAGTGGTAATCAACGAAGACAATGGGTACCTACCTGGGGACATCTTGTTTAAAAATCTTCAAAAGGGATGATAAAACTGACTGTGAAAAGAGAAGAAACGTAAATATTTTAATATCAATCCTAGTTTGTTCTGTACTTACTTTTGTAATCTTAAAGGTTAAAAAAAATAGTTTTACGATAAAAAGTCGTTGATACTGAATTTAATTCCGGTTTTTGTCTAGAAAAGACTAGTGAAATTTATATGTGCCAGCTAGAAAAAAATACACAGTTGTGAGAAAAGAAAATGTTTGAGAATGTGTTTGAACATCTAGATCTATAAATATTGTGCATTTGCCTTAAAATGACAAAAGATCAGTTTCTGCATGTGAAGAATTGCCAGTGGCATGTTTTGACCTATTATATGTTTTACTCAAATGGAGAAAAATAGAATCCCTAAAGAAGGCCCAACACGGCAAAATCTTAAATCTTAAAGTTTTTGTCTTCTTTTTACGTAGTGTTGCTTAACAGGTTTAATGTTATTTTGTGAAGAGCTGCGTCAAATGTTGAATATTCGTATATTATATTAGCTAGGCAGGTAAATGTAATGTTTTTTAATTGATATCATTATGCAAAACTTGTGCTTCATTTAAACCATGCTGTAATATTATTATTCCGTTCATATTAAAAACAAACTTATGTCTCAAATATACAGTAAATGTTAAATATAATTATGTTATATAAGATTAATGACCTTGATATTTTGTTTTTGTATGTATGTATGTATGGATGTATGGATGTATGTATGTATGCATGTGGAAAACTCATTAAAACAAGTTTTTGACCATCAGACAACAAATCATTATCCTAATTGAGGTGTATCTGAATCATTAGAACTTTATCATCATTTTTTTCAAGCAATATGTTATAAGACTAAACTTATGATACATTTCTATTGTTTTCATACTTTACAAAAAAATCGTTCGAAAATTGAAAGAAAGAATATTTCTTAAATGCCGTCTTTACATCATAATCACCGTGTCATTGTACAGTCGCGTTTTCGTCATCTTAGCATCGTGCAATGAAGGACACGATTGTCCAAACAGAAAACCGTATTTATTAAACTATATTTAAACACACTTTAACCAAAATAAGACCAGTAGATTATCACATTTATCCATAAGATAAACATAAAATATTTTTTTCGAAAATCAAATTTTCAACCGTGGTCATTTTAATCGCTGGACAAAAGAGGATTATAATTTATAACGAACGTGTCATAAGAAAACATTATGGTAGTATATCTAAAACCTGATTAAACATGTGGCCAAGCCTTCAAATGGATATAGGTATGTCTTAAATAAAGTTCTGTGATGCATAACATGAACATTTGCTATTCTAAAATTACTATTTAGTGAAAGTGTTTTAAATGTTGAAATTTGCAGGGATCAGAATTTCCTTTATTTGAATTACGGAAAATACGCAAAGAAAACGATATTGTTTTGACTACATAAGGACTGAAATATGTTGGAATCACGCAAGGTATGAATGCATATATCAATGATTTAATGACCTACATATATCTAATTAATTGAATTTGTTTTCCATTGAAGACTTTTTTGTAATTACAGGTTTCGTAAAAGTATCAATTGCATTAAAGATATATTTTGCTCAAATTTGATATGACCAAATAGCGATAGTTGCTACACAGTCTCTTTGTAAATATAAAAAAAAAACATGTTTGACTTCACGCAAAGTAGATATGTTGTGTTTAAAATTCTACACTCTATAGGTGCTCTCAACATGAAATTAATGGGTCATTAAAAAATTGGCGTTTTTTATTTTAAAAAAGAACCGGATTTACTTTAGCTTCGATAGGGAACGCAGCTTTCCATACATAGTTATTCAAATGAAACATATACAGTCAATATGGTCAAATTTAATAAAAATGTTTACCATAATTTGCATGTATCTGAAAGTTATTTGGTGGTTCAAAAGTTGGCATAAATATTCGGTTTTCAGGTTTGAAAAACGGCGATATAATTGACTTCCTGTAATTTTGATATTTTGTTTGGACGCATATAAATATATCTTACTACGCTTCGACATGATACTGTTTGAATATATTTTTCATTTGAGCATTACAAGCCCACCATGATTAAATAAAGTAAACAAATATAATAAACATTTACTATAATATTTCTTCTACAACATGTTGAATTGCTTTAAAGTACAAATTCTTTAGAATATATACAATTTGTGATGAGAAACAAGTCAATTCAAGTACAGTGAAATAGTGGTTCAATTTTCAACTAAATAAAAGTCATATGATGCCTCAGGAAAGATATTTTCAATCTTTAGAAAAGCCAAACATGAATTTTATAACGTTTAGATAATGGTTTAACAATGTGAGATTCTTATCACATTTAAAGTAGTGCGGAATGTAAATAATTTGTAATTAAAGTACCAAAATGTAGACAAAGTAGTATTTTGACTTTCACCAAAACACTTAATTACTATACTTGTTGACAAAAAACAACAGAATCAAAAAGACGAATCAAATGATTGGCCAATTTATCTTTTGGAAACTATATCATGGCACCAATCGGGTCACAACCATGTTTCATCATATGACACCAGTACTGGTTTGTTCCAGGCAGCGGACTCGAAAGTGATTAATATAAGAACTTGTTTGCAATCGAGCCTAAATATATTTGTTTAAAGGCACCAAAAAAATAAAAAGGTTTTGAGAAATAAAAAAAATCCATTTCTGGGGCACAAATGATCTTAAATATTTCATGTTATTCTTATCTGCTTATCAATCTTATATCCAATAAATAATTACGTTAATACTACTATCCGAAATAATAACAAACCTCGAAATAACTTTAGGCAGGTGTGACAAACATAAATCCGATATGACACACATTCTTTGCTATCCCGAATAAGGGTTTTACGTCGACATGCCAAACATTATTAACTTTGTTTGATTCACAGTTTGATAAGGAATACAATAAAGATGGTACTTGCATTTAACCGACATTCCCAGCGAACTTAACCATTTGAATAATCATTATTTAGTTGATCAAAAATGTCTTACAGACAGTTGTAAAATGTATTATAACATAACATAACATCAATATAGATTAATATTCAGTTCTAAGATTACTGAAACAGGTATTTGTATTTGCAAAATGTTGTACTGATAAAAGATCTTTTAACTTAAATTTTGTATGGTTTTATATCATAAATATGATGCTCAAATGAAGATTAATCAATAGTGTAAGTTTTCCAAAAAGCATTATTTGTAAAGATACTACTGAATTTACCTTTCATGTAAAAAAGGAGGTAATTAGAAATTTATTTTCGATAAAGTCGAAGTCAAATCTTTCTGTAAGAAATGATTGCATATATTTAAATGATTACTTAAAATGCGTATAAACATTTGCAGCACATATTTAACATATTTTTGGATGTTTGGAATTTGCTTTAGCAGAATTCTATCCTTATTTGCAGTTTCATGAAAATGTTTTCAGTACTTTTTGAGCTATTACAAATACATGTATTAATATATTTGCCATATTTTAAACCTATTTGTTGCAATAGCAATCAACTTTTTTAACATAGGAAGACAAATTTACTAAATTGAAACTAGTTTAATCTGTCAGAATCAAAACATAATCCAAGTATAAACCTGTGATATTCTGTCGTATATAATCGATTGAGTGTATGATTAAGATCGGATTAAAATGAAGTAGGAAGAGCAATGGATAAATACATGACTTATGCGGTCTACACCACCATTTCAGAAATCTAAGCCGAGCTACAGAAGTTCTATCAAGAACGTGACGTTGGTGCCAATAACCTCACAGTGATGAAACGCGTACCATAACATATACGTAAATCTTGTACAAAAACAAACAAAAGTTAAATAAGTTTGAAGAGATATCCGTGAATTAAATGTATATATTCTATGCACAAAAATGCTGCTTTTCACGATTAAAATCACACAAAGTATATAATTTGTTGTTGTTGTTTTGTTGTTGTTTCTTTGTTGTTGCAAATTTGACCTTTGTTTAAATCTATGTCGCACGTGGTAAGATTTAAGACTTCAGCACGTGTTTGTAGTATTTTTAGTTTTAAGTATTTGGCATTTTCTAGTTGGATGGTTTCAATATTTCTACTCGAATAATGTTTATCCCCCTTAGGATATATTGCCTGCTTTTTAACTTCGTCTTTTGACGTTTTATCTGTGATATGCAGGCTTCATAACCTCTGATCCCCTTTCAAAATTCCCTTTTGTTTAGTTCTGCCCATTGTTTTCTCGTTTAGGGCACAAGCTTTTTATTACTTGAGGACCATACGCCGCTTTTTTCATGAAATGGCAGTACTGTGTCACATTGGACTGCCATGATAACCGTAGTATGAACACATCTGCAGATGTTTCTAAATTCAAAATTTTACCATGTTGAATTCTGCTTAAGCCGGTGATAAGGAGCCTGCAACACTTTCAATTTTGACGTGTTGGGCTTTCTGTAGGGATTTTAATTTTCTCTATTTTACTCATTTGTGATGTATATGTATATCTTAAAATCTGGAAACTTTCGTTTTTTTGTTTTACAGGATATGACGCAGTATTCCTTCATGCAGATGTCAACAAAACAGACCGCCGCCATTGTTACAATTATATCCGGTATATCAATAATACTTTTTGTACAACAAATGACATTTGATAACCGTTTACCAGAACCAAAACCTTGGAAAATGAAAAGTAAGTATTTTTTTTTTAATAAAGATAACGGTATTATTGATAAATAGTTTTATTTGGTGCCTTGGCAACCATGAACCAGACCGATGAATGAAATCATGATTGAATACTAAAAGGATATTTTTTTGTTTGAGTGAAATATGGAATATATTTTCACGAAACATGATAAAATGCCACGAGCCGGGACGGCGAGTGAAAATATGTGGCATTTTATCATGTTGAGCCAAAATATATACCATATTTCACGAAAAACGAAAAAATAATCCTTTTATTTAATTTCATTATCAAAGAAAAATGGCTACGAACCCCCTTGCTTGCTGCAATTGTACCAAACTCCTCACAGTGATAACCTACCTTGGCAGAATTGAAATCACTGCTTTCAAAGACGTCACATGATGATGAAAGTCACATGACGTCACGTTGAAATTCAAATGTAAGTATCGACTATTACATAAAAAATCTAACGTAATTTTCCTATTTCTGTTTTATTTTTAACTTTTCGTACCTACGTCTGCTATATTTTATCAAAAAACTATCAAAAGTATACAAAATAATGAAAACTAAATTTAAAAGCTAAAAAATATAAAATATTGATATTTAAATGTTTGCGATGGCAGATATCTCTGTACTAATAAGGGGAGATCACTGTGTAGGAGATTGCAATTGTACAGCGCGCAGTAATATATTTTTTATAGATACGTCTTGTTTTGCACGCGATATTTGGCGCTACATTGTGACGTCACGTAAACAACTCTTTAAACGTCTGTACAGCGTTAATGACAGAACTAAAGATATTGGTGTTCGGGTTTATTTTCTTAGTTAGACCATTTTCTATCGTTCTAGATAGTTTTCAAAACAAATTTCAACAAAAAGTTTTGTATTTATCAGATTTTTCAAAGAAGACCCTTAAAATAAGTCTGAGTTTTGACTCCGGACACTTTCATATTTATATTTCATATTTATTTTTAAAAAATATGAAATATATTTGACTGATATAGCACCATATTTCATGGGTAAAATTAAATTAAAGTCCATATATAAATTTCTTTAAATGAAAATATTATGGTGAATAATTGATGATATTGTTATTCATGTAGGATTAAGTTAATTTATTTTTGAATTAATTTTATGAAGCCTTGATTTG